AAAAATAAAATATTTTAAAATTAATGTAGCAGAAAGCTGAAATATATATATTTATATTTAACTATACCAAAGCAAGGAATGACCTTTTCTTGAAAATCTGTGGCAAGCTTGGAAACTACGTCCAAATCTTCTAAACGTGTTCCCATTAAGCAAACCTTATTGGTTTTCAAATCGCCAATTTTCTCGAGATTTTCTACATCGTCATGCGCGTGTGTATGAACATCACAAGTCTTTGACCAGGTAAAATTAACTTCCATGAAAAGCGGACTTATCATGTGTCGATCATCATTCAGTATAAAAATCGGAATTAAAAATAATTAATTTTACATCATGATGATGATGATACTTTCACAAAAATTTCAAAATGTTACTTTTAATTTTAATAAAAGGAATATAATCAAATCATTCTTTACCAACACCACGAAAAGATTAAATCAAAAACAAACTTATCGAATATTATTTTTTGGTTCGGATAATTTTTCAGTGCCATCATTAAAAGCTTTAATAAATGAATCAAGTATGAAATTCTTTGAATTTTAAAAACAATGATACCTAATTTACCTGTGATTTACTTTAATAATGTTTCTTTGAATAAAAGAAAATCCGGATACTTTTGTAAAGTCCATCGAAGCGGTAGTTCCACCCGATAAAAAAACCGGTAGAGGTTACAAAGAGTTAGCAACAAGTACATATAATTTATTGAATTACCAAGTTTATAAAGTAATTGATAAATTATTAAACTTTGTTTTATTTAAAGGTCCCGTAAAAAAGTTCGCTAAAGAATATGACTTGAAAATTCATGAAGCGCCTTCAAAATCATTAGAAGGATGGGAGGTAAAAGGAGAAAATAATTCAGACCATTTATCTTAAATGTTGTACAAACTAGTAATTCAGAACACCGGTTCTTCTTTTTTTTATAAAAAGGTTCCAAAATCAAATTTTGATTTCGCCATAGTGGTTTCATTTGGATATTTCTTAACCCCTTCGATTTTAGAATCATTTACTAAAGGCACAATAAATGTCCATCCATCATTATTACCAAAGTAGGTAACAAATCAATTTTTAATTTTAAGTCAACCAATTGACCTCTTTTATAATTAAAAGGTATCGAGGAGCATCACCAATTCAATACACGATATTAAATAATGATAAAATAACGGGAATCACAATCCAAGAATTACATCACGAAACATTTGACGCAGGAAAAGTACTACGACAAATTACGATTGTACGTCACGTGCAAATTTACTCCCAATTTACTTTAATCCGATTAACACACTTTAATTCCTAGGATGTTCCCCCAAATTCGACTTATAATACACTTGAATCCCTTCTCGCAACAAAAGGAGCAGAATTATTAATCGACACATTAAAAAATTTCGACTATCATAAAGACAACGCGAAAGAACAAGATGCATTAAAAATTTCCAAAGCTCCAAAGATTAGGAAAGAAATGAGCGAGATTAAATGGTCACATATATCTGCTCAACAATTGGATCAACTTGATCGCGCTATTTCTCATCAGGTAAAAAGAAATCATTTTTATAGATGCATTTTGATCCTTGATCAAACTAATGTTTATTATTATTATTGTTATTATTTTAAAGTACTCGTTATCAACCAAATTTAATAATAAAATCATCCAGTTACATAATATTTCATTACCTTCTTTGTCCCAGCAACAATTATTATCCCAACATGGTAAAACTCTTCGCCCTGGTACAATACTAATTCGCCATCTTGAACAATCATCACCAGTGGCTTATGTAGTATGTGCCGGTAATAGTTTTATTACATTTAACAGTGTTAAAGTTGAAGGGAAAAGAGAAGTTTCAATATTAGATTGGATTAACGGATACCAAATAAAAAGTGAAGAAATGATGTTTGACGAATAAAAATATCTATATCTATATATATATTTTCATAATAATTTATCAGAAAATTTAAAATTTCTTGTATAAAATTATAAATACGTGACGAATTGACGTAACTTTTAATAAATCAAAATCGTTAAATTTCAGAACTTTTGATTAAAGTGGATTTATTAGAATTTGATTCTAGAAATCTGTGTAACAAAAGATTTAATTTTATGCATGATCTGTTCGTTTCATATTAATGTGCATTTTGAAAATTTAAATCATTCTTCCAAGTCAATAAAAACTTTTTAGGAGAAATCAAACGATGTTAAAAAGATAAAGTTTGTCATTTTGCGTGCGATTTCGTTCTTTCTTTGACCGATTAAAATCATCCCACGCAAAAATCATCACATTTCGATGTCCGCCAAGCCTTTTTATAAGCCTCTTTGACTATACAGCTTATCCGTGCTTTTTTTTTATTTTTTGGGTTATAATATTGCCAATCCGATTTTGACAAAAGGGTTATTAAAGAGGAAAAAAAAAAAAAAAAAAATACGTGTATTTTTTTCAAAAATCTTAATCGGATTATTTTTTTTTCCTTTTTTTTTTTCTTTTCTCTTTCTGATTTCACCATTTTATTATTATTTAAAAAAGGGCATGCCTTGCTTTGGTATAGTTAAATATAAATATATATATTTCAGCTTTCTGCTACATTAATTTTAAAATATTTTATTTTT